GCATGAAAGGAGCAACGTGGTGGTTTTGCTCTGCAGAGGTCTCAGAAATAGCCAGGCATGAAGCGCTGCGGGGGTTCGGGCTCGGTGAGAAGGACGGCAGAAACGGGTGCCAGCCCTCAGTCGTTCCCCCGCTGCTGGAGCTCTTGGAGGAAGTTGTACATCTGGTGCTTTCCCATTTAGTCCTTTCAAGAGGCTCGTTTGAGAGCAAGGTTTGTAAGGGAGAGCCAGAAATAAACAGCTCATGGTGCCATTTGTGGGATGAGAGGAAGATAAGAAGAGAATTGTTAGAGATGGGACAATCAGTGAAAAAAAGCCTGTTTTTTAACAAGGCTGACATTCTGCTATGTCTGTTAGAAGACTGTTCTGTGTTACAACATGACTTTTTCCATAGCGTGTGGAGGAAAGGAAAACCTTTGGGTGTACAATACAGCAGCTAAAGAAAAAGCCTGAGATGCAGCAGAGCACGTGTCTCCTGGGGATGGCCTGTCTGTGGCAGGGAGGTTGGAACTTGATGATCTTCAAGGTCCCTTCCAGTTCAAACCATTCTATGATTCTATGGTCTTCTACCCAGTGGTGGGCATTCACGAAGGACCTCTCTCCCCTTGGCCTCTTTCAGTCCCACCAACCAGACAGAGGTAAAATCACCTCTCCTCCGGGGAGGACTCTGCAGTTTAATAGTTTTTGTACCTCTGTCTCTCTAGGAGTTTTTACAAACAGAAGGGGTTTTCGTTTGTCATCCCAGCTCCTCTGAAGTTGTGCATAAGGTTTAATATCATCTTCTCTTCCCCATCAATTCAGTCGTCGTTTCCCTGATTTCTCTAGGAGGTATTGTCCCATTTTTACCCCTATGACACTACCAGTGACTGCGGCCAGATAGCACGGCTCAAATCACCTTCTGTTTGTGTTAACCATGGTGACCGTCAGCTTTTGAATCCCCACATATCTGCTTTTCTTGGTCACCTGTCCCCTCTCAGTAGAGAGGAGTGCAGGGTGCCGGCTGCAGCGGAAGGGCGCTGTGCTCCGGGATGATGGTAACACAAACACAGGGAAATTATCCGAAGCACGAAAGCCAAGTACCCTGTCACTACTGCGATAAGGAATGGTAGATAGTGTGCGAGTTAATATTGAACCAGGATTGTTGCCGAGGTGGTGTGGCAGGAACAAAGAAGCCAGGAGCCACCGCGGTGTGATGGACCATGTGTGGGCTGTCACTTCAGTGGTGTCCAGGACCACCAGAGGAGACCCTGCCATGGGGGAGGCAGGGCTCACACTGTGTCACTTCTCCTCTCCCCAGGCTATAAGAATATATAGTCTTTTTCCAGCACTGTGCTTATCGCCAGGGCTCCCACAAGCCTCTTTAGAGTCCTTGGGTTTTCTTATTAATGGGGAAAGCAACGGCCCTGTGTCAGTGTCAGTGAGAACGGAGATGTCAACGGGGCCATATCTGCACATGGCCCAGAGGAGAAGGTTACTTTTGGACCACTCTGGGTCCTTCACAGGTACAGATGATTAACCCTGGAAACATAGGATCATAAAATCATAGAATCATTTAGGTTGGAAAAGACCTTTAAGATCATAAAGTCCAACTGTAAACTTGGGCTGTAAACCATCTCTGTCTTCTAATATATAATGGTGCCCATAGCCCAGTGCACCGAAGAGGTCGCTGGCCATTGATGTGACTCTCCGATGGGATTTAACAGCCCTCTTGGAGACATTTCCTATTAAACAAGTTATTATCTGAAATGGGAGAGGAGGAAAAAAAAGTGATAATTTTGTGAAATAGATGAAATGAGAAAGAGCATTGATGTCAACTCAGCCCAGTCTGCTGCTGCTGTTATTTTTCATTTGTTTCAGCACATCTGCTGCACAAGCGTGGTAGGAAGCACCCGCTGCTCCCCCTTTCAGTACCACAGGATGTTTTTCCTGGGTCATCAGCCTTGGAGGGACGAGAGTCGTGTAAGGATCCCAGCCCAAACTTGGGCAACTTTCTTCCTTTTTCTTAGGCAAGGTGCTGTGATGCCGTGGCAGCCTCACCTGCAGCACTGCTGTGTGGTTTGCTCGCCCACAATGCTAAAACCTTTTAAATGTTGCCGGGAAACATGACCTGGAGAGCCTTCCCCTCTGCTTTATCCCTCCTGGGTGCCATTTCAGTGGTACTCACCTTAAAAAACATAGCCTCAGTAAGTACATGCTCTACCATGGCATTTGGTCCAAAGGGCTGTGTGAGTATAAAAGCATCACTTTAATACCTTCATTTTGTATAAAATTATGTGATGATGAGTGTTTAGGATCGCCCCACCTGCAGCTCTCACCTGTGGCAGCAATTTTGGTTGAGAGGTGGAATTTTTATCAACCATGATTTTCTAGAATCTGTGGAGCCATGAAGACAACGGCGTTCTGAGAGATGTGCAAAACCAAAACAAACCAAAAATCATGTAAATAAGGAGTTTGCGGAAGGTCACCATCCCCACGCGTACCCTGCGGATGTGGTTCCCGGCGGGGACGCTGCAGAGCCTGGCTGCGAGAGCCCTGTGCACTAACATCCCCACCACCAACCGTATGGGTTTCCCCTCCTGAGTCTGGGTCCTTTGTCCCCATAGGGTCACGGTGACATTAGCAGAGCGTGTTGCTGCCGGGAAGAGGTGCGCTCCTGATGTGAAATGGGTCAGGGGGGCGGTGTCACTGCCCCCCTCCACCCCCTCAGCTGCATGATGGAGCACCAGAGGTTTGATCGGGCTCTGCATCCCACCTTCTCCTTAGAGTGTCACCTCTACATCAGCACGTTTCCCCCACTCAAACCTATTTTGGACAAACGAGCGATTTCGTTGCATGTGAAGTTGCTGCATAGTTTTATTTACTTTTTTGGGGGGTAGCTAACATCCTAGTTCTCCTCTGAAGTCTGGCTTTGCCTCAGTTTCTGTCTGAGAGCAAAGAAAATGCTGATCCACAAACCCACTTCCCGCTGAGGAATCACAAGGGCTGTTAGCAGATGGTATTGCAAAATCAAAGGGTTTGTGCAAGGGAAGAAATGCAGCTGATCCCGGCCGGGGAGTTGCTGCCCTGGCACCTGGTTTCTCCTCCCACCTCTCATCACAGTTCTTGATGTCCTTCTGGTGTGGGACCCCGTGAAGGGGAGAACTGGGCTTTGGATGCAGTGATAAAGGATAACTCCCAAGGTATGGTTGCTTCAAGGTGTCATATAAGGGGGAGACCCCGTAAAATGGAGAATAAGGTTCCTCCCGCAGCCCTCTGCCATGGCACGCTGCCGGGGCTCAGCTCTTCAGCGCAGCCTGGGGAAGGAGGAATCAGGCACGTTCCTCCATAAACGAGCTAACTGATTACTGTCAGCCCCTGATTACATGAATCATGGAGCACATCGTGGCCGTGCAAAGCTGGGGTTATCTGAGGTGTCATCCTGCCAAAAATGGCAGCGCTGCTGCTTGGCTCCTCCACATGGGTGTGGTGGTGACCCTTGGACCTGCCAGCGGCTCGGCACCCACTGCATGTGTTTTATGAGGCGAAATAAATGTTTGAGCGGAGGCAAAAAATGCTGCTGGCCTCTGGGCACGGCCACACACGATCTGCCTGCGCTGAGTGGCAGACAATTGCAGAAGCACTTGGGTTTCTTCAAGGCTGAGTGTGGCCAAGGCAGAAGAACGATGCCTGCTGCAGGGGAGGGTGATGTGCAGGTGGGTTCCTCGCTGGGACTCATTTCCTCTCGGCCACATGGGTCTGCCGGTGGGCTCAGGGGACACGGGGAAAGGGACCACACTGGACCGCACGGAAGAGGAGATTCGTGGTCCTTCCTGGTGTGATGGGGGCAAAGGAGACCGTGTCCTGACCCATCCCCACAGCCACCCACCAGCACGGGGAGTTTGCATACGTGTAGCTAAACTGGCCAGAGGCTCCACTGCACAGTCTGCCCATACGTGTAATGCATTTTCCCTGTTTCTCTGGTAGAAAGCAGCCGGTTCTGTGTGTGTGTTTTGGGGGGGACACTGAGCTGCCTCAAGCCAAACAACAAAAGCCACCTTGTGCAGCCCCACGCCTGAGGGCAAACAGAAAGCCAGGGGCAGAAGGGGAACGGGAACCCATCCCAAAACACCGCGGCTGAGGAGCGTTCATGCCGGCTGACCTCCTTGCGAGCGCGGCGCTCACCGTGCCAGGGGATTGCTCGGTCCTCAGCACCTCCTGCCCGTGCCTCGGTGGCTTCCTGGTGCTCGAGCCATGGGCAGGCAACCCAGCAAAGCCACCGATGTGTGCAGAGGGACACCAGGCACAACTCCCATCGGCCTAGGTGCGAGCACAGGTTGTGCCACCACAGGACCATATCCTTCTCCTCACCGAGACTGAGGACCAGAGGGCTCTGCCTGAGGATAACGGACTCCTTTCAGCCCTGGGTGAGTGTTTCCCAGCAGGTCTGTCTCCTCCAGCCCCTTCCCTTCTGGACCCTAAATAGGAGGTGCGGGAGGACAAGGTGAATGGGCACGGGGAAGGTACATCTGTGCAGCCAGAACCCCCCTGGGTGGGGGGACAGTGGCAGCTCCTCGACCCTCCCCATTATACCCCTCAGTAAAAGCGATGAAGCCGGCAAAAGCAAGACTGAGCAGGGAGAGGCGAGTGAGTCTGGTCCTTCGCTGCTGCTGTGGGAGCAGCCGGGGACTCCCCTCAGCCCCACGGGAACTGGAGGGCTTTTGGGTGAGAGGCAGGAGGGAGGGTTAGGGATGCTGATGCCCTTTGCTATTGCAATTTCCATTTCATCTTGTAAAAACAGTCCTTTCAGCAGTTTCAAATCTGAAGAGGTGCGGGGCTGGGCACGCTACTGCCATCCTAATCCAGGGAGAAACCTGCCCAAGGGTTAAAGTTTGAGCGAATGAGTAAACAAGGCGACTCCTCCTTCCGCACCATGTGAGCGCAGCGAAAGGTCAGGGAACGAAATCATAAACCAGGGCTGCCGCTTCGCAGGAGAAGAGTGCTCTCAGGGCAGGCTCGGAGGCACGATGCATCTCCTGCCAAACTTTTCTTTTGTCACTTGGCTGCTCCTCATCGCTTTCCTTAGCCTCCTGGTCCTGTAAGTAGAGGCTGGTCCTCCAGGGTGACCAGGGAGGAGGAGAAGCCTGTGCCTGCAGCTGGGGAGGGGCTGGGACCATCACCCTCACCGTGAAGCACCCAAGGACTCGGATGAGCATTAAAAACTCATCCTGGGTCCTTCCTCTGCCACCTTGGAGGCAGAGGCGAGGGCTGATAAAGGAGAGGCTCCCCTGTGCCCTCCCCATGGCAGAAGGGAAGGAGGAAGCTGAGCTGGGCTGGGAGGGAAGTAAAAAGGAACTTCTTAATTGTTTTTTGCTTTTCTCAGCAGATCCAAAAGGAGAAGTAACCTCCCTGTTTTTAACCGCAGCAGGCGGTGTTTGGCTGCCAGGGGACAAGGTGTTCCTGGCCGGGCTGGGCTGGGCGAGCTGGGAGCAGGGCAGTGGGTGATGTCTATGTTTGCCCGTGTGCTCATGCCAGCAGAAGCCCCCGTTTAAATAGTTATGTTGGCAAAATTACCCTTTTGCTTATGTCACTCCGGGGAGCTGTAGAGAGCTGTACAGGCAAAAACTTAATTTTGCTGTTATAATTTATGTCCCCGCTCAGCTGCTGTGCTGCTGCGGCTCTACCACCTGAGCATCGCAGTAGGTCTTTGCAAAGACAAACACAAGGGCAGGTCTCGGCTTGAGGACTTAATCCCTCTGAGAACTCTCTTCAGTCACTTGAGTCACAGATCTCTGGTCTGGGGAACTAAATGAGGCCCCTGAATAAAGAGCTGAGGTGCCCAGGTGCACCGTATTTGGCTCCAGCTCCTTTCAGCCATCATCTTAAATCAAAATGTACCCCAAATTGTCTTGTAGCCCAAGTGATCCTGCATTTATTGCAGGAAGAGAGGATCCTCAGCAGGTCTGCTGCTGGCGGCCCATCATTTCAGCTTTCCCTGGGAGACAGGAACCAGCTATTTAAGCTGTTCACTGTGCTCAGGATTAAGAACCTGCTCTTTTCATAGCGTAAATGCATCTAACGTGCTCTTTGCTTGGCAGCTATGGGATATGGCCCTTCCAGACCTTCAAGAAGCTGGGCATTCCCGGACCACAGCCTCTGCCATTTTTTGGAACATTTTTAGAGTACCGGCACGTGAGTACCGGCAGCTGCTGCTCCATAGCTGCCTTAGATTCTTACTTGGAGCTGGTGCTGTTTTTCCCATCCTTTGGCCATTGCTTTCCTCTGCCCTTGATTCAGTCAGATGGAAATGATTCTTTCAGGTAGGAAGCTCTTTGGACACACAGAAAACCCCAGAATTACTTTTAGGGTCTGTTTGACCTGAATGAGGTGTGCTGTGTTTTTCAACAACTAGTTTGTAATTTAAGTTAGTAGTGTCTCCTTGGATTCCTACCTGCTCCCCAGCAGCTGAAGTTATGTTGAAAATAATAAAGAAAAAAAAATATTGGAGAGGTGCCTAAGACTGCTAGTTTCTGAGAACTGCATGTTTCTTTGCGTTATCCCCATGAAGAGGCTGAATTAGCCCCAGCAATGCCCCATCCAGCCACTCGCTGTTGGGCCAGCCGAAGACTAAGCCAGCCAAATAGATTTCGAAGTAAAACTCAAATATTATCAAGTTACCAAACCTTAACAAATAACTAGGTAGTAGCCGGTGCCAGGTAACGGGCTGCAAATGCAGAACAAAATGTGTTCGATTCGATTAAAGAGGTATTTTAGCTTGTGTTTGCTGGGCTTACAGGATGCATGTGGTCTCTTACTAATGGTTTAGTTGATGCATGGCGAGTGTTATGTGTCCCATAAGTTTCATCCTTACACGTAACATCAGTTAAAACCCTAATGGAAACAAAGCAAAACAAAAAAGCCATCATCACTCCGGTTCAGTGACTGCAGTGGAGGATCTCATGAGGACAAGGCAGTAGCAGCTCTAACGTGTTGGGCTGAAGATGAAAGGACACCCTGGGATCTGGCTCTGCCTGCTAACTCTGCTCACGCTAAAACTGTGTACCCTGTCGTACCTTGTCTTCATCACATTTTTAGCTCAGATTGGCTAGTGGAAGTTGAAAGGGCTTTTTTTTTTCTTTCTTTCTTTCTTTTCTCTTTGCTCTCTTTTTTCCCTCCAGTGCAAAGGTCCCCTAAGTGTCTGTGTGACTCTTACGAGCTCCCATGCACCCCCCAAACTCTGCCGCTTACGATGGGGCTGTGGGATGCGCCGCGCTGCCAGCTGTGACCTGCTTTGATCACTCTTCACTGGCAAACTGTTCATTTCGCCTTTCTTCTTTTGCAGGGAGTCCTGAATTTTGATCAGATGTGCTTTGAAAAATACGGTAAAATCTGGGGGTGAGTTTCTTGAGAAAAAAAAACCTGCCTGTTTGGGGTGCTCGGCCACCCCAAAATAGAATGGAAAGAGGTACGTTGCCACCATGTCTCAGCACTGTAATTCCAGCAGTTACAGCTTGGGAAAATCCAGGTTCACCACTGGGAGAATCTCCAGCCGTCTCTCCGAGACTTCTCTCCTGCTGGGATTTCAGCGCCGTGCAGGGCTGGGATGATGGTGGCCAGTTTGGGGGTCGTTTGTTTGCATAAGCTTTGCAAATAGCTTTTTTTTTTCCTTTTCCCTTTTTGGAGCATTAAAAAAACTAAAGAGCAGTGGTAGTAACCTCGGGGTGGGGGAAAATTGCACCGCAGAGAGCCCGGGGAGCTCCCCTCGTCCTCCAACAACCGCCAAATCAGCGCGGCCATCCCTTTATCTCCCAGCTCCAGACTCATCGGTGAGGAAAGGCACCGACCGTTTCCCAACCGCCCTGCCTGCCCAGAAAGCTCCGCTGCTCGGTGTCAAACTGAGCCTCGTGCCTTTGAAGCCGGCTCTTCGTCTGTCTTGAGCAGAAAGCGAGCTGCAGGCTGCCGCCGCGTTTTTCATCTTGCTCCCTGCCTCTCCCGCAGCCGGGGCGCGAGCTGCCTTTCAACCTGCCTCCCCGCTCCCCGCACGGCGCCGGGTTTGTGCCGGGGCCTCTTATCCCGCTTCTCTTGAGAACCTCTCAAACCGAAGCAAAATTGTTGTGCAAAACAAACCCTAGGAGGCCCCGTGAAACCTAGCATGTTTTCTTTTTTTTTTTTTTTCCGACAGATTAAATGTTCTCAAGCCTCTTGAAGGCGGCAGCTTCCCTCGGCTGCGGCCCAAGGCTCCCTGCCCTCTAGTCCACACCGTGGCTTTTAAGTTTTTCTGCCTCTGCTGATTGAAAATGGAGGAGACAGATGAGTTTTCCCCCTCTCGTTGCCTCGTAGGCCAGGCAGGGAAATCTCTCTACCCCGCAGGTAGGCGATGTGGTGTGGGTTCAGTGACTCCAGCTACCAGTTGCAGAAACAGAGCTCCGACAGCCCAAGCGCAGGGGATCAGCGTCGCGGCAAAAGCTGCCTTTTATCTAAACCCACACTGCTTTGGCAACTCTTTAGTACCACAGACGATTGCTAGAAACGCTCATGCTGTCTGCGTTTGGCACTTTCTTTCCCTTTCTCCTGTTTTACTGCATAATAAAACAGTTGCAGCCTCCTCCCTTTGGCTGTTTGGTCAGAGGGGACTCAGCTGGCCCCAACCCTCTGGGCTCGCGCCGTCCATGTGCGCGGCTCCGACCGCAGACGAAGCAGGCTGCTTTTGCTCCAGCTGACCGCGAGCGATGGACTGACTGTGGGTTTCTCTTGGCTCAGGATTTTTGACGGCAGGCAGCCTGTGCTGGCTGTTCTGGACCCCACCCTCATCAAACACATCCTGGTGAAAGAGTGCTATACCGTCTTTACCAATCGCCGGGTAGGTATCTGCTCCCGTGCTTTGCTCTCCAGTACAGAGCACGCGCAGAAAGAAAGAAAGAGTTTTTTCTAGAACAAGAGGAAATGGCTTCAAGTTGCACCAAGGGAAGTTTAGATTCGATATTAGGAAGAATTTCTTTACTGAAAGGGTCGTGAGGCATTGGAACGCGTTACCCAGGGCAGTGGTAGAGTCCCCATCCCCGGAGGTATTTACGGGTCGTGTAGATATAGTGCTCAGGGACGCGGTTTAGTGGTGGGCTGGTCAGTGTTAGGTTAATGATCGGACTAGATCATCTTACAGGTCTTTTCCAATCTAGGAGATTCCGTGATTCCTGGTTTCTGTTCTCCTTCTGTGAGCCCTTCAGCAAGCAGTTGCTCTGTGTTGTGCCCCAGTTTATTGATGGTACCAACAAAAAACTCTGCTAGGCAGGGGTAGAGGCCACCCTGGCTGGGACATTGGGACGTCAGCCTGCATGTACCCTAGGGCTGATGGCATTTATGACTCTTACACTTTTGTTTCCATTTCTGTTGTTTGCTGGTTGAGGTAGAGCTGATGTGACTTAGTGGGTATTTTTTTGCAGTTCTGTCATGTGGGAGAGGGCTGGAAACCTTCACCCATCTCCCTGTATAACCCTGTCCCTTTTTGCTGTTCCTGTGCAGAACTTTGGTCTCAATGGGATCCTGGAGTCGGCCCTCAATGTGGCTGAAGATGAGAAGTGGAAAAGAATTCGCAATGTTCTGTCTCCGACCTTCACCAGCGGGAAGCTGAAGGAGGTAAAGCGGAGGCCGCTGGTGCTTTGCATCAGTGGCCAGAGGAGGACTGGGGCATTTCTGAGTACAAACCTTTCCCTCAAGTGAGGAAGTTGCTCCATTGGTCAAGACCACATCCATTAGCACCTGCTTCGTTGGGTGCAGTTCAGCAACCCAGTGGCTTTCTACCATCATGGGGAGGGGGTCAGGAGAAGGGTATGTAATGGCACACAAGGTGCTGCACACTGAGGCTGTTGGCCCCATGACCTGTATCTCCTTCTTGCTAAGCGTATCGCTCAGACCATGGGTGCCCATTTCCATGTGCTCAGGAGCCACGTTTGCTTCCACCCGGAGCGGATGCTTAGCTGGAATGGGAGCTCAGTGTGGATTTTGGGAGGTGAAGCCTGCTCAATCATAGTCAAATGAGCTCTGTGGACTGGTTAGTAAGATGAGAGAACGCAACATCTGAGGCCTGGAAATGATACCTTCCCCTTGCCTGCCCTTCCTCCGCAAGCCAAAGACTTGGCAAGGCACAGATGGCAGTGCGGAGTTACCCAGCCTTGTTTGGTGGAGGTGAAAGAGTCAACAGTGTCTTCTGCTTTGGTTTGCATTTCAGATGTTCCCTGTCATTACTGACTATGGAGAAAAATTAGTGAAAAACATTGAGAAGAAAGTGGCTAATGATGAGTTCATAAACACAAAGGAGTGAGTAACTGCGTGGGGCTGACAGGAAAGAGTTTGTATTCAGTGTCGGGAAGGGCCCCCGCAGAGAGAGGGTTTGGAGAGCCTTTTCCACGCTGCAGCATAGATCCCTTGTCAATTATGGGCGTGGGCATGGTATGTTCCTCAGCAGTGGGCTGCTTGTGCTGTGCTCTGCTCTAACGGGGTAGCTGTGGCCCGTTTCCCATTTCATTTTACTAGGGATGCATTTTGAGGAACAGGCAGGGCCCATTCCAGAAGCCCCACAAGATGCGGTATTTTTAGATGTAATATTTAGATCCCCTTTTACACATGGAAAACAGAATACTGTCTTTGTTACCCTGGACTGCAGTTCAGTGCTTTCCAACTACAGCCTAGGTTTTTGACGCTGAGAAAAATTGGGGGATAAATGCAATTCGGGAAACGTGGGAAAATATAATGATGGTTACTACCAAATCAGAACAGGACCTACTGTGTTAGGACTCTGCACTGAGTCCTTGATTAAATGAGATTCCCTTTCTCAAGGATTGTTCCTAGATGGGCTCTTATCCACTACACTGGTTGGGTTCATCCCATTCACTCTCTCTTCTTCTCCACCTAGCATTTTTGGAGCCTACAGCATGGACGTGGTGACCAGCACTTCTTTCAGTGTGAATGTTGACTCCATGGGCAATCCCAGTGACCCCTTTGTCACCAACATTAAGAAATTTCTTAAATTCAATTTCCTAAACCCCGTGTTCGTATTCCTAGGTATGACACATCTCATCTCATATAGCCCTGAATCAATGTCAGAGGTGGTGACCACCTACATTTCCTGGTAGCTCCCTTAGTAGCTTTGAGTCCTCTTTGCCATATGGGAGATGCTCAGCACTTTGCAGGATTAGATTCACCCTAGTAGATCTGCAGAAATATTTCCCCAGTGAAACCACAGTCGAGATTTGTATAGCCCGTGTGGGTCTTTGCAGCATCCTCGTACAGGCAGAGATGCAATGGAGACCTTCTCTGTCACAGAGAGCTACACTTAGTGTGGCATTGTGGCCATAGAGTGACATATGGAGGAGATTCGCAAGTGCTATTGCATGCCAGCCATGGTTAGGTAAAAAGAGATCTGAAGGCAACAAAAAGCCATTTTTGGGGTCAGGGTCCCTCTCCTTTCTATGCTTTGTGCCAGTTTTGAGTTTCTTGGGCCCCTTTGGGCTAAAATATGTTGTTCTTTTGTCTCCTTTTAGTGTTGTTCCCCTTCGTTGTCCCAGTGCTGGAAAAGATGAATGTTACTCTATTGCCCTCAAAGGTTATGGACTTCTTCAACGGAGTCTTCATAAAAATGAAGAAGGAGAGGGAAAAGGGCAGCGGCAGGGTGAGTCCAGCCCAGGTGGCCTCTTCTCTTCACTGTGCTGCCCTTCTGAGTGCAGGAGGGACCTGATGACGTCTTCAGAAGCTGTGGCATATCCCCTACTCTCCATAACATCTCCCAGCTCACCAAACATGGGGAGGGTGAGAAACATGCCCTGCCTAGGCCTCCACGTGGAGAAAGTATCTGTGTTCATAGAAGGTCTCCAGTCTGAGAGACACCATGAGCCTTCTGGGGGGGCTATGAATGGAACAGGTGTCTCAACAAGGAGCTTGGCTGGACGAGGTTTGCCTCCTCCCCACCCGCATCTTCTCTGACTGTCTCTTTTTCTTCCCAGAACCGGGTTGATTTCCTGCAACTCATGGTTGACTCGCAGAGCTCACAGGAGAGCTCCAATTCTGCTGAGACTGACTCATACAAATGTACGTCTTGAGATCTGTCCTCCTCTCAGCGGAAAGCATGGTAGTTTCTTGTGCAGTTAAAGGAAGGAAGTAGGAGAGGATTTTAGTCATTAGTCCTATGGGAGATTCGAGGTCTCGGTAGTGGAGCTGTAATGATGCTTATCACACATCAGCCATATTTTGTTATATCCCATTTCCTGGGATGAATCCTGAGGTCTGTTTGTGCAACAAAGAGCAAACAGAATGAATATCTCCTTACTCCCATTTCTTATTTTATCTTCTGTGAAAGCCAGCAATGTTGGCTGTATTTCATAAAGCCCACAAAGCCCATATGCTGCACACACCTTGCACATCTATGAGCTCATCTCTGTTCCTCATCTTTGGTAAAATGATAGATTTAGAAAATAACGGTTCAGCCAAGGCATAGTCCCCATCCATCAGCCTCAGTCAAGGCAGGATGCTTGCAAACTTCTGAGGTGTGGGGAGAGGGTATTTGTACGACACCCTGCACGGCATCCTGGCGGCACTGGGACACTACTGCGCTACCAGCGTTAAGTCCTGTGTTCTCCTTATTACCACTGCCACATCATGCTCAGGGCTACTAATCCCTCGGCAGTGCGAGGCTCACCTCATGGCTTAGAGGAGCCGCCGGACATCTCTTCATCTCTAACTTTTCCTGGCACGTGCCCTTATTTTTTTTTGGCCCAGGAGCATGGTCCCAGAAGATAGCAGAGAGTCAGGCTCAGGCTGCACGTGCCTTGACTGTGTTCTTAAAGAAAGCAACATAACACTGCTGATCCTGACAGCAGTTTTCTGGCTGTACAACAGCGCAAGATCCACCCCTTTGTGGTACCAGAAGGTTAGCTGGATATTTCTTTTACCAACTGTCAAGTAGTTATGAATAGTGTTACCTAGACTGACGAGTGGGAACCTGAATTCCCAAGGGGTAATTACTGTAGTTTTCAGCTTCTTGCATGTGCTTTTGTGCCTCTTTTCAGCATTAAGCGATGAAGAAATCCTGGCCCAGGCTCTTATCTTTGTCTTTGCTGGTTATGAGACCACCAGCTCTACCCTCAGCTACATATCGTATAACCTGGCCGTCCACCCGGATGTGCAGCAGCAACTCCAGGATGAGATTGATGCAAACCTGCCCAACAAGGTAAGGGAGAGTGGGGAGATGATGGGGTTGTTCCCGCCTGTGCCTTGTAGACCCTGAGCCAACAACCAGGTTGGAAATAAAACAGAATGGAGGGAGTGCTGGCACTGAGGTTTCCCCTCCCCTGGTCTCTGATGCCTGAAGGGGACGCACTGCGGGGGTGTTGGGGTGGGGGTTGAAGTCCTATGTTTGTTGCCATCCTGATTCCTCTCCCCAGGCTGCTCCCACGTACAATGCCATCATGCAGATGGAGTACCTCGATATGGTGGTGAATGAAACCCTCCGGCTCTTCCCTGTCGGTGGCCGGATTGAGAGGGTCTGCAAGAAAACAGTGGAGCTCAATGGTGTGACTATTCCAAAGGGCATGGTGGTCATGATCCCAGCCTACGTGATGCAGCGTGACCCGGAGTACTGGCCAGAGCCAGAGGAATTCAGGCCTGAGAGGTGAGGGCCAGGCGGGGGGCAATAGCTGCGTGCCCAACCTCAGCCCTGGTAATGGAAATGGCAGCGAAAGTTGGGAATGCATGATTATAACATTTAAATTAGGCATTTATCATTGTCTGACATCTAGTCCCAGCATTACCGTGAGGGGAGTTTTATGATCTACATCCATAAACTGTGCATGGAATTTAATTAACTGTATTGAAGGGAGCGACAGTGAGAGCAGCTCCCAGCAGCTGTAACACTGAGGGGTTTATGGCCAGATATTAAAACAAGAGCCGTTGGGTGACTGGCACGGTGCCGTGCAAACCAGCAGTGGAAGGGCAAAGACGGGTAGAAATAAAACTTAATTTTTCAACTCAAGTTATGGAACAATCCTTGCTTAGGAGTCTCTGTCAGACCCTGCAAAGTGAGGCAATAGCCCAAGGCAGACCTGGGAGACCCTGGGCCTGCTAGCCTTCAGGTGGCCACAAAGACGTTGAGGGTTGGTCCAGAGAGAGCAGGACCAGATCTGTGCCCTTGCACCAGGAGTTGAAGTACCCCTGGTAGCTAACCCCAGTGTGGGGTTGTGGTGACCTTTGGGACAACATGTGGCGGCAGTATCAGGCAAAAGTTAGGGAGGGAGCTGGGTGCTGCTGAAATCACCTATGGACACCTGTGGTCACCTTGTGTAGAATGCAGAAGGAACCACCCAAATGGGAGTACTCTGGCAATGGGCAGTTTATACCCATTGCTCCAGTAGCTGCATCCTAACTCCAGTTGGCAAACTGGGCATGGGTAGATGGACAGGAGCTCTTTAGGGCTCACTTGCTTTGCTGGGAGTTCATCAGAGGGATGTGCTGGTGTCTCAGTAGCGAGATACTTCACTGCTGACTTAGCATGGCTGAGGTTTGTACCTGGACCCCATGCACCGGGAATGAAAAGCTTTCTGACATGAAAACTAACTGATCACTAAGAAGTATTACTGAAAATGCTCAGTGCCAAATTTCTCTGTGAAGCTGATTGTTCTTCCCTGTTTTTCATGATGAGGAGAGGAATGGCTGGCGTGGCTCAAAAGCAACCCTCCCTTTAGTCACGCAGGGGGAGAACGTCTTTGTGTTCGCCCAGTCCTTTGATCGAAAGGGAAGACGTGAAGCTGTAGACCTGTGTGTTTTAGGGTTTGAAATCTGGGTTCAGTTTTTGAGCTGAGAGGGAGTTCTGAGAAAAGAGTAGTTATGAGATCTATTAGCATATTTCAGGTATTCCCTGTTCACCTGATGCACCTGGAGATGCACAGCCAACTCCAAGCAGCGGGATAAAAGCAGAGGCATGAGGCATCTATTGAGACAGAAATAAGGGACTTAGCTGGGTTCTTCTAATACGCACAGAAACACAAAAAGCTTTTGCCTTCCCAGGCTCCTCATCACTTCAGATCTGAAAGCTGGCACATCCTGCAACAGTAGCTCTTTCTAACACTTTTTTTTTTTTTTTTGTTATCAGGTTCAGTAAAGAGAACAAAGAGTCTATCGACCCCTACACCTTCCTGCCGTTCGGGGCTGGCCCCAGGAACTGCATAGGAATGAGGTTTGCTCTCCTCACTCTGAAAGTGGCTGTGGTCGTCCTGTTGCAAAACTTCTCGTTCAGAACCTGCAAAGACACTCCGGTGAGGATATGGGGTGATGTGGTTCGTTGTCCACCCTTTAGTCCCACTGAGACAGTCCTCGGCGCTCCCTTTTGCCTACATCTCCGGACAAACAGGGAACTGTCTCACGTGCACATTAAATGCCTCTCTTCCCCAGGGAGTTCAGAGACCACTCCACCTTGCCTGCAGACTTGGGTTTTACTACTTCAAACAGTGATCAGGGAGGAAGGTTTCACTGTGGATTAGAGAGGCATATGGGAATAACTGTATTTAAATCGTCTCAGTTAATTTAAATGGTTCACCACAAGTTGCTGATACATTTTTTTAAGCCTCTGCAGAAGCGAATTTAATGTTGGTGGAATATAGAATCATAGAATGGTTCAGGTTGGAAAGGCCCTTGAAGATCATCAAGTCCCGACCCCCCCTGCCATGGGCAGGGACACCTCCCACCAGCCCAGGTTGCCCAAGGCCCCGTCCAGCCTGGCCTTGAACACCTCCAGGGATGGGGCCTCAACAACCTCTCTGGGCAACCTGGGCCAGTGCCTTACCACCCTTAAAGTGAAAACCTTCTTCCTAGTGTTTAATCTAAACCTGCCCTCTTCCAGTTTAAAGCAAAAGGCCCTGTCACTACATGCCCTCGTAAAAAGTCCTTCCCCAGCTCTCCTGTAGGCCCCCTTTAGGGACTGGAAGGCCGCAATAAGATCTCCCCAGAGCCTTCTCTTCTCCAGGCTGACTATGTCAGGCTGAAATCCCTGAAATCCTCTACCCTTCTTTGGGTGCACCTAAGTTGTGGGGTGCTCAGTCCCCCACGGTTCCCTGCCATTCTGCCTTGACCCAGCGTAGGAAGACCCCACAAGTTGCAGGCCCTGCAAGACGGGGCTGTTTGACTTAAAGTAAATGCAATGGCTGTTGGAAATTATACGTCAAGCAAGCCCTCCTGAAAGCGTGGCAACTCCCTCTGACTCAGAGGCAGGTCACACAATGTTTGGTGTTTGTTTCGACCCCCGAACCGGCTTTCTTCATCCAGTGCTGCAAAAGGCTGTGCCGTTAATACATCTCCTTCACAAGGCGAGCTTGGGAAATCAGAGCAGAGGGGGCAGCGAGTGTATTCAAAGGACATTTGTTGTAAGAAACAGAAAAATCCTTATTAAATTATGACTTGGCACGAGTGCTCAGATGGAATCTCTGCAGATTCAGATTGCAACTCAACTAGTAACCTGGAGGTGAAAGACTGTAATAGTCCATTAACAATGCAGTGACCTATCCACCCTCCCCCAACTCTAATGACATTTTTCTAGTCCTCTGCAATCCATAAAATTGATTCTTTTTATAACTGCCTTTAATTAAAAGGAGACAAGTTAAATATGTATTGTATTATTGGTGCCCATAGGTTTATGGGGCTCTTTCAGTCCTTTTTTCTACAGAAGATGTCATGTACATCAGATTAGAGCAGGAGGGAAAAATTCATGCTGGAACATCCCTTTGGAATACGTATATGGAAGCTGCAGCCTCCTCTCACTCCTCCACTGATGGCACATTGGGCTCTGAGCCACATTGCTTAAATTGCCTGAAACAAAGCTTACTGGGATATGGGGTTTTTAACGCAGCTTGTCAGGCTGGGCGTGTATTGCCCTTGTCCTGATGGGGAGAAGGAGAGCTGGGATACGAGCAGGATCGAATTGATGGAGGGGACTTGGTAAAACATCCTTCCCTCCCCTGCAAGTTGACTCCCTCCAACCCCAGTTTTAAATGTTCTTTTTATTGAGGTTTCCAGCCCACCCCAGGGGAGCCCATCGCTTTTCTGTGTGAGGATGCTTTTTCTTCGGTACTCAGTTTGAGCAGCAATCTTAGTTTCGCTACTTCCTGGAGAGCTTATTGCTCCTCCAGCTCCCATTACGATCCAGTTCCCCTTAGCGCTGACACACTTCCACGTTAAACAAAATGGCACTGCGTGCCCCTCCTCAGCCGTGGCTCCCCGGGTGGGTTTTTGCTGCTTTTCCCTCCATGTGCAGCCTGTTGATCGGTGCACCGAGCTCTCCCTACCATGCCATGTGAAAGTCAGAATTCACTAACCAGTTTATTACAGAGCTGAGGGCTATTAAACCCCAGCTCGTAGCTGTTTTGCATAAGCAACAGTGATAGTCCTGCTACAAGAACATCTATCTGTAAGTTAGGAAATGCGTTGAAAACAAGGGGTGGCTGAGATGTATGTGGGCTGTAGGGGTCCCATCGGTATTATGACTGTCCTTTTCCCAGCTTACATGGCTATTTTGTTGGGGTTTTTTTTCCCTTCTGCTCAAGGTCCCGCTGGTTCTGGACACGAAAGGCTTCATTCAACCGAAGAAGCCCATCGTCCTGAAGATGGTCCCCAGAGCCCATGCTGATCTGAAGAACTGAAAGACGCAGGAACAGATCAGAGACTCTTGTTTGATGGTGCCTCCTCTAAGTCTTAAAAGGAGACCCAGATTGATGTGCGTGCTGTAGAAATGTCCGTGGCACAAACCCCCATTTCACAACAAGGTTTTAGGGGCTTGGTGCAGGATAATTACATGAGCATTATCCTAATGAAAATTAGCCCCAGATCCCGCTGTCCCCGATCACAATAGGCATTTTGCGAGACCATTTGCACTCAAGTTATTTGGGCGTTTTTTTTCTCTCTCCCTCTGAAGAAGCACTTTTCTAAGCAATTTGATTCCAGACACTGTCAGTCTCTTCTGGCAGTGTAATTTAAATCAAGATAGGGAGAGCAAATTGCACATAGTTAAGTAATGCTACCATCGCTCCTGTTCCTACTGCCTGCTGGGTGACTCTGTACGTCTTCTGGTTTTATTCTCCCGGGAATGCAGAGTTGTCCAGGACTATTTCCTCAGCTGTGTGCTCTGACCCTGACAAGTGTTAAAGTGGTCACATCCTTGCAGGAATGAATGCCTGTGGCAAATTTTCTGATGCTGATTTATTAAGCTTTTCTTTTTTGATGGCTTTTGTGTGATGTGGATTGCAGATGAGTTAATTGGAGGAGCCCAGAGACAAGCAGTTACCCCTAATGACTGGAGATGTGCAGAGCCGGAGAGAAGTGCCCCTCATGTGTTTCCTGATGGTTTGCTTATTTTACCGCGGGTGTGCAGCCATCTCCCATAGAATGGATTGTCAACACAGGCACCAGCTATGGTGCTATCATGACACCTTTTAGTCTCCGATTTCTATTAGGCCACTGTAAGACCAACTTAACTGAATTAATAATGATGCTGAGTGCAGCACTTAGAGCCTTCAGACATCCTGGAGAACCCTAGTCTGGAAGAAAGGTGTTGCCTTTGGCGATTGTGTGCTGGAAAGTCTTGCCGGACTTTGTCATTTTGTGTAGATTCTGGAAGACCTGTATGCTCACATTTCATATTATTCCTCCAGAAACTGCTACTGGAGGGGTAACCGCAATAAAAAGCTCCCTTACCTCTTCTGTAACCAACTGATGCCAGTCTCTGATTCTGTTCTTTCCTCTGTACACAAGTGAACCCATCTGTAGGTCTCATAAGCCATTGGACAGACAACGACGCGGTCTCATCACCTCTCCCAGCTGGGCTTCCTCGATTCTTTGGTGGGATCCTCAAAGGATCTCCCTCTGCCTCAAAAATCGGTGCCACAGAGTGGAGATAGAAGTTCTCTTTCGTGATTCATTCTTCCACTGGCCTTGTAGCACCACAACTCACTGAGAGTGTGGTCTTGCCAGTCTCAGCCAAGCATTTGTCTTTCTGGGAAAGTAGAGGGGTTTGATTCCAGCGTCTGCTCCATGCTGCAAACCAGTTGACCTCCTGCTGGCTTCAAAGTGCTCTCCACGCTCTCTCCTAAATACTTCATTCACCTGCTTCAGCATACCCTTCCGCAGGAGGATGTCTTCTGCTTCCAAGCTGTCAGATTTCAGTGCCGGGTGAAATACTTGCATGTGCATATACATCTAACCCAGTCACAACCATGTATCATGCTGCTTGCATTCCTGGAGGATGAAAACTCATTATATCTTGAATGAATCCAAGTCACTATCCTATGTGTATCATCAGTAGTAAGAGCTGCTTCTGGAGATGTGGAGTTTGAGATACCTCAGCCCGAAATAAATGGCTGAGCAGAGCCATTGATGGTGTGGAGTGGTTATCATCGTAAAATTGGGTTTAGCAACTTCAGTCACTACACAGCAGTTTTTATGTTTCTTTTATATTCTTATGTATAGATAGATATATTATTATATATACTTTTTTATTTTCTTTCTGTATTTTTGAGGAATTGAGTAGAAAACCCCAAAAAGCATGTAATAACCTTTCTGCAGTAGATGAAATTCCCCAGTTAAAGACACCCTTGACTGGAAGTGTAGGGGAAGAGTAAGGCTGCTTCTCTAGAGAGTCACCGATGTGCTGGGTGAGAGGGTTAGAAAATTCCCAGCAGCTCAGGCAGCCACAGCTTCCCCTTCCACCTTCATAACCTGCAGCAGTGCAGCTCCTTTCTGCCACCAGTGTCCAAAAGCGACAGTTTGTCTTCGCTTTCAGCTGTCACTGTCCCCTTTTTTAAAGCCACGGCACTGCGTTTGACTGTGATGGCACCTCTCAGGGGAGAACGACAAAATATAGAAGCAGTCAGAGCCCTGGAGAACAAACAGCCGCAAAGTGCCTCACCCTCACAGCGGTTCACAAAAAGGGGCATGGAAAATCCTCAGGTCTCTGCCTTGAGAGGTGACCGAGAAGATGAGGGTGACAAAGTCACGCACAGTGTCACAGGTCAGGGATGAATTAATAACCTTGCTGGAGCGAAGGCCGTAGCTTGCCCAGTGGCAGCGAGGGAAGGGTTTTGCCTCCTCGTTCCACGCCTGTGTTGGAATTAATCACTCACATACAAATGTCAACACTACGGAAAACATCCTTCAGGATAATCTCTCTCGCAAAGCCGCTTAACATTTTGGTAATATACAGTTCACTTGCAGGTGTCAAAGGATTTCAGCCTCTCTCATCTCTGTTCAAAGGCATCTTCATCTGCCGGCGCCCCACGCCGATGAAGGGGGCGAGCAGGCTGCTGTGACGGGCAACGCCGACGCACCCGCGGAGAGACCGACCGGTGCACGCACTGCTCCGTCTCCCGGTACCTGCACGGCATTCTGGCAAGGGTCAAAACGATGCCAAGGCGTGGCAAATCTCATCTTCATTTCACTGAATTCAGTCGTGTAGAGAGCGGACACCTTCGCCGGGTCCCACTTGCCTTAGAGGGAGGTTTGCCACCAGATTTTGGCTTCGTGGAGCGGCTGGGGAGGGACCTCGCAGAGGGGAGTTGCTCAGATGCTGGGAGTGTTCCAGCAGGCGCAGTACATGGGACACTGCTGCTTGGCTTTATTCCAGCTCCTTGGGGGCTATTCCAGATATTTGGGGGGAGCTATTTGGGGGGATGTTCTGTGTCAACCCTTTCTGGTCCTATTTCCAGAGGTGATGAACATGCCCGGCTCCTCTGTAGCCAGAGGGAAATAAAGTTGTGCTCTTGCACAGCCGTGTGCCTCAGTTTACCTGCATGTAAAACTTTTTGAAAAAATATTTACAGTTAGGCAAAAGCGAACTTTTGCATGCGTCTACCCTGTGCCATGCTTTGATTCAGATCACAGCAAGGTCTCAGAGGGAGCAAATGGGTTTCCTCTTGGATGACACCAAAGCAGAAGCGCTTCCGGAGCTCATCTAAGGTTGGAACAGGCTGCCCAGGGAAGTGGTTGAATCACCACCCCTGCAGGTATTTAAAAGACAGGTAGACGTGGTGCTTAGGGACATGGTTTCATGGTCTTTAGCGTTAGGTTAATGGTTGGACTCAATGATCTTAAAGGTCCCTTCCAACCTAGATGATTCTGTGATTCTACAACATGCTCCAGCTGCTGACAGCTGGAAGCAAGTCCTCTACTCCCCCTAAAAAAACACATGGGATGAATATAGTGCCCTCAACACCAACTCCTTTGCTCTGCGTATCCCTCTCCTGTAGCACAGCACCGCTTCCCACTGCAAACACAGCTTCAGCTTAGCAACAGCTCCTTCTGTAAGGATAGTCCACCACCAAGTTGCACCATTCAAATCTGGTCCCATTCACCCGGGCTTCGATTATTTAGGCTTGTTCCAAGCGAGAGCACCCACTTGCACTTAACCTGGTGCTCACTCATTGAAGTGGTATCACTGCTGGGCTTCACACGCTCCCGGGTGCTTCGTTGGCTCTCGGTCCTCTCCCATCGCTGTGCGCGCCGGCGAGCAGGAGGTCCCTGGGCCGGTCCTGGGTAGCATGGTCGTGCCTGCCACAATTTGCAAGAGGCCTGGAACTTTCCTGACCCTGACCCAGGCTTGCATAGAGGTTGTCCGTATTATTGCTGCTGTGCTGGACTGGACCTGCTGCTGAAGAGAGACAGGCCTCCAGACACCCTTATTGAATGCTCGATTCAGTTAAAATCGATGGAATAATCAGCCCACGGAGTCTGATGAAAGGTCAGGAAGCAGTGGGGTTTTTTCCTGCAGCAGCTTTGGTCCTGAGCTCTTGTTTTAGTGCAAGGATTGCAAGCAAAAGCACTTCAGCAGGTAGGTTACAAAAGTGTTAGGAGTGGTGGTATTAAGCTGACATGTAACAAGTGCATAACAAGGTCTCCTGAAACAGAGAGGTAAATTCTTTGCGGTGCTCATTTCTCGGACAACTCAAAAACAAGCCGTTGATGGACACGGCGCAGGCTGGGCTGGCGTCCTGCAAGGCAAAACACAGAAGATCCTCGAAGAGTAGCCCACTGGCATGGAGGAGGTAGAGGATGTCAGGAGAAGGGGTGCTGAACCTCGGGATGGGACTAGGTGGGATGAATCCCACTTTCTCACCCCATTTCATCTCACGGCCCCAAATTTCTACCCCTCCCAGCCTCTCCCCACCTGTATGTGACACAGAGGCACCTCTGTGGCTCCTCAGTCCCTCGTGTGCCAGCAGCAGCCATCTGCAGTGTCCAAGGACACAGCAATGGGAGGACCAGTCTTTACCTCTCTAATCACTCAGGCACACGTCTGTATCAGCTGGACACTCTACATACCCTGGACTGCATTTGCAGAAAGACTTTGATCTCTCATTTTTAAGCCCAGCCATTCATTCCCCCCCAGAGCTAAGGTAAACGGCGGCGATGCAGCTTCGGCGGATTCAAGGTTTCAAGTCAAACAGCAGTCGTTTAACCACTCTTTTAAGTTTCGTATCATTTGAATGTCATATGTCAAACTGATGCTACTTCCACCAAAGGCAAATAGATGTTTATTCCCCTCGCAGCTGGCCAGCAGTCTGACATTCATTACTGGAGCCTTGCAGCTGCCAGGGATTGAAGCTACCTGTAGGAGCGTGTCTATCAAAGCCTTCCACCTCTTAAGGGTTAT